ATATAACATACGCATTTTTGATCCATTTATTATTAATTATATTATTAATTAATAATAGAGTGAAACTTTGAAGTTTGCTTACAAACGAAAGAAATTGTAATCTTTGTGTTCCTATTTTGTAGCCTTAGTTCATTCTAAAGTTTTGACCAGAATGAAATTGATTTACTGACGGTAAATTAATAAGGCGAAAAACTACGTCACGCGGTCAGTAGACAAAACAGTGGAACACAGGAAACAGCAAAATAATAGAAATTGGGCTATGACAGCTTTCTTTGTTAGATAAAACTCCACTGTTTTTGGCCTCAGATAGCGACATTATCACCGATATCGGGGGAATGATCATCACCAATTTGCCCCATCGAAATTTGGCTGTCTGGCTTCTTTAACGACACAAAAAAAACTTAATCTCTCTTTTGATGGTTACGTGTGGCTGGTTTCCTTACAAGGGCCGACATGTGAAAGTGTCTCTTCATGAGAACTTGTACATTGTACTGCACAATTTGAGTGAATAGAGAACGTTGCTAATATGTGTGTATGTAGTAACTTACTAATTTCTGCTTGCGCTTGAAAATAAAAAAAAAAAATTAGAAAACATGCACGCTTTTTGTACTAAGTGTTTACTATTATCAGGTATGTCTGTATTATATATTGAGATATTGTTGTGCGGTAACACTGCATAATATACTTAGATGAATGATTATACGGTCTCCGCATGGACGCGTTATTTGGTATCTAATCGCGCCAAGCAACAACTTAGATTATCGAAAGAACGCCAAGCGACATAACAGTTTCATATCTTCTCTAGTTGCTAGAAATTATAATTTGGTTACCATGCAAAGTACCATTTTTGCAGATGCTTTTAGTGTGTCTAAAATTCATCTCAGAGCGATATTTATTTGAAGTATCCCATGTTCTCATTTATTATTACATCTTTATTAAACAATACTTTCGTTTACAGTGAGTCTCAGTCCCCTCTCGCCTACGCTTCCGTTTTTGAGAGAACGACCAAAATAAAAAGATACTGCTAGTAATTTTCAAGTGTTAATTGTGATTCGTTTTGACGAACTGGTGTTAATAAAAAAAAAAAAAATCATAACATAGATAGAGAAAAAAAATAAGACGTTTATAGGAATTTGCTAGATCTCTATGAATGAGTTACATTCGTTCTATCCGGAATTACATTCTACCAGCCGGAAAGTAGGGAACAGGTCGCATCCTCTTCTTTTCTGCAATGCTTATTTATATCTATAGCTCTGACGGAAATATATATATGGTCCGTCAAAATAACTTATGCCAACTTAGGAACACCTAAAGTTAGTTTAGGTTTACCTACAAGCGTTCATCAGAAACAGGGCCGATTTACAACAGCCATTTGATTTACACCGTATCAAAGTACGGAGAAGAACAGTTCCAATCGACCTGGTGCTATAGCACTATAAGCCATTTGTTAGTTGTTTGCAGTATCGAGCATCTGAAAGAAAAGCCTAAAATACAAACAAATAATATCCATGTTTTTAACTGAATCGATTATGCGTAGCCCGGTTCATAGTTACTGTATAATATTTTGTATTGTTAACAATAATACAATATGCCTTTGTCAAATTACCGTCCAGGGAAGTGGGATGTTTCACTTCAACCCTTTTGCAGGCAGTAAAAGCGTACACAGATTCGTAAATTGGATAAAAAAACAGAATCGATGCTTACCAGATGGTTATCTTGAATCCCAGATATCAGATCAGAGACCTATAGAAGAGACCCTAAAATACAGGAAGACTTTAATATTAGATATATATATATATATGACCTTTGGTTAGCGTTTAGTTCGAGGGGAAGTAGCTACGTGTTTTGGCATCGTGTACAATCATCCTATTTTATATAATGTGGCTATATATAATTAATAGTACGCTGTCGATATCCGTTAACTTTACACTGTCTATGGGCGCAACGAAGTGTTCGGACCCTTTTAGTGGCTGAAGGCTTCATATACATTGTATATAACATATTTTACTTGCGCCTACATAAAGCCGACCGAGAAAAACTGGATCGTTTTGTTGGTACGCCAGGTAAGTTTTTTTGGGCTAAGATATTAACTTCGATTCGGAACTGACAGTTCCTACCACACCGCTATACATGTAATGGCGTATAGGCTTCGGTTAAACTCGAGTAGCGCACACATCAACGATGGAATAAATAACTACGGTCGGTTCCTTAGGCTGAGAAGGGCTAGAAAGACAAGCGATCGCCATGCGGTTCGTAATTGTAATCGATTGTTGATCATCAGCCTCGTTCTCTCAGATGTACAGAGAGTCTGCGGTATCCGGTGGAACCGCGAGGTAAACCGTGTGAATAGCATCTACAGTCCACGCAGATTGCTCAAGGCTGCCTATGTTCGCGGCTTCGTATCAACTCGATAGTGGTCATGAGGCCAACCGCGATGCGTTGTGTTCTCACGTTACTCTTCGTTTTTTTTGCATCTCTTCTACGCTGCCGTTAACCACTATCTTCTTGCTCTGCTAACATCATTCGTTCCTATACATTTTTCCAGATTTTTCGCTTTATGCAATCCCACGACTCGCTGGATAGAAGTACAGCAGCAGCCACACCAAGCGACAGCAGTTAACAGGCAAGCGACAGACAACGCAGAGGCAAGAATAAAGACGTCGCCATTGAAGATCGATCGAAGACGACGCCGACCTTTTGCGTTGCGAAAAGCCTCCTTGCTGTTTTACGGTAGCCAGCTCCTAGGAGGCTGCTAGCGACTCCTTGTGACAGTGTCGAACGAGAAAGGGAATGAGAAGGATGGGCCAGCGAAAGCGAAGCAAAGGCGCCAGCAGCGAAAAAAGCAAACTGCTTCTAGGCTCCCTGTTCGAAATAGTGGGGCGTTTGTCACTGCCTCTTTCGGTCGACGACGAACGAGTGGCCATCAAACGATACTACGGCTGCTTTATCGTTACTAACAGCACTACGAGTGCGACGAGGATAGGGACGGCCGACGATAGACACGAAATGGGCGGAAAGCGACAGAGAGGCTGTGACGGTTGGGGGTTTCTGCTGCCTGATAAGCCCGACCCGTCTTTGACGGGAGATGATGTAGAGGACGAGGAGAAAGAAGAATACGAAACTGACAAAGGCTTCTGGGCAAACTTAAATTGTGAAAACGACGAAATCGGCATCGGGTGAAGAAAATAAAGCAAGTCGAGTTGAGCGTCTGCTAAGATTTAGCCGGGTGCGGTTCGGGCGATGGGGCCGGTAGTTGGAGAAGTATAGAATTATCGGTTCGTGTCAAAAAACATACATTTTGTAATTATGCTTGTATCGAAGCTGGGGTCAACAATGTTCCCTGTTGCAACGTTTTTTTTACGCAGGAGGTTTCCGATCAACGGCAGTCTTATCTTCGAAACGTGAGCGTGACTTCCTACAGCGTCAATTTCCATACAAATCTTTTTTCGAGTCCTCACAATGCTTATTGGTCGACTATTTAGCTTGCTTGTGTTACTGTCGTAACCGATGATCACACGGAACAACGTGTTCAAAACGAAAAATTTTAAATCAAACCTATACATCTTACTGATTCTTTCATTGTAGATACTGACTGAAGTCAGTACTTGAAACGAGTTCACCAGACAACAGATAACTGCTGGGGCCTTTTGCAGGTCCGTTTCCATTTACTACTGCGCAAAATGTCACCAGAGGAAAATTATGGGAACACTATAGCGTACTAGCATACTCGACCTACAAATGGCTTTATTTTGGTTATACCAGGACAGGCATGTCCATTAAGTGTGTACGTTAATGCAGCGTTTGTCGAAAGGCAGATCATTGGGTCCTGCTATTGGCTCAACATGGGTTAATTGTTTCTCGACCCTACTCTTCTATGAGTGTTTAAGAACTAGGTCAACACGGCGAGTTTACTGGCAGTTGGCCCACGTTTTCAGATCATCTCTTGTCGTTAATAATGATGTCCTTTGAACTGGACGTGTTTGCCTGTTATCACTATTACAAGGTTGGACAAGATCGTTTAAGACACCTACACCTCCTGTACAAAAGGATTATGAGGTATTAAAAAAAGGTTAGGGAAATTCAGATTGGGACCAAATGCGCGATTAGACAGTGGTTATTGCGAATAAGCAAATTCGATTAAACATGCTACAGAACCCCCATATGGACTTGTAATCAGGTAGCTCATTCATATGAGCAGCTTACGATAACTAGAGGTAAACGTTCCCCAATTAGTTTTTTTTTTTTTTCGGTAGCACAATTGGAATCGAGTCCGAATCATTACTCCTGGCGACAAAACCGATGACGACAAAACACATTGTGTGACCACAGCATAGGCACGGCCGAATTCTAAAGGAAACACAAAAGCACATTTATGTATTTTATCTAGTTGGGGGTTTCCTTAATATCTGGCAGAAATCAAACGTTTCCAATGTTCATCTGCCGTCTAATTGAACGTAGATACCGGCGGCTAGCTTGGTTCTTTTAGCTAGGAGTTCATCTTCTCGTATGGTAGTCAACCAATTTACTTGGCGACAAGTTCCCCACAATTTCTCATTTTATACGAATGATAGATATGCAAAGCAAACACACGCGATAAAATGACCATTGCACGCTCCGGTTGATAGGGTAAATCTTATCGGTAACAGCCTGTGTAACATTACGGGACGACCACTCAAACCAGGATCGTAAATAATTCAACCTTAGAAAATCTGCTTCGTCAACATAAAAAATAAACTCGATTATAATTGCTTATAGTATTAAGAACGGAAGACGGATCCGTCGTGACATCGTTCGTAGACGTTTTTTACCGTCAATGTTTCCATCGTGATATATCAATGTATCATTAGAAGATCGTCTACTCTAGAGAAAACTTACCACTAAGAAATCGTTGAATTATCAAGTAATTAGTTTCCTGTGTGGCGTTCATGGCGTGTGTTGAAAAAAAAAAACAAAAAAGTATGGTGGTTTGCTAACGTGACCTTTTCCGTCGCAATTTTCAGTCGCTGTTGTAATATCGTTCTTCGTCTGTTGGACTCCATTCCACATTCAGCGGGTGTTAGCTCAGTCGCTTTCGGACATCAGCGCAGACGACGGGGCACAAGAGCCAAACAGACAGGTATGTTAGTCACGTTGTGTTGTCATAAATGGGTCGGACCCACTATAATATGCTGTTAACGGGTTTGTCTATTATTAAACGTTTCAAATAAAAGCTTTAAAATAGCGAGATCGTTCAGTACGTTGTTATACGTCTAACCGGTTGATTTTAAAAAATAAATAAATAAAAAGGAGAAATAGTTACAAAAGCTGCCGATATAGTTATCACGCCATGGTGCTGTTGGAAAAGCCCAACACACCTCTCTGGTGGTGGGCTACGAAGCTTTGGGCTATTTGGTGGGTTAGATTCGAAGGATGTAGGTTCATGCTATACAATAGAGGTCTAAGGGCGGTATCGGCCGTGAAGCTCGAAGTGTTAATAAATAAATGGCATCACTGTCACTATTCTGAACAAAGGACCACAAACAGTTTTTATTGTGCGGAATTTATATATATATATATATATATATATATATATATATATAAAATATGTATATAAAAAACAAATGTTACTCTTTAGTCGGATCGTAATACATTTGGTACCATTTTACACGGGATTATTTATAAGTCTTGGTAATAACGCGATAGTGGTACGTAGTTAAACACCTTGCGTCACATTTTCCTTTAATCTCCTAAGAGACTGTTATATTTTTATCTTTTCCTTTTTTAGTTGCTAACTGTTTACGTGATCATTCACCACGTTTCGGGCATATCCTACTATCTCAGCGCTACGGTCAATCCAATCTTATATCAGGTACGATACAAATCCATTTATATAATATAACTATTTTCGTATAACTGCAGGAACATGGTAACTGCAGTCAGCAATGAGTGTTATGCAATAATTGTCCCGTACGCTTGATTTAAAGGAACCGCTAAGAAAATTAAGTACGCTAGATATGGGCAAACGGACCATCGACTACGGTTGGTGCGTCTCAGTTCTTTGAGATCGAGTCTTTCTGGTTTGAAAGATCGTTTGATAGTACATCGTCAATATTATGTGTCCTTTGGATAACCAAAAATTAAGACGCGATTAATAGTGGTTCTGTGTTACCCAAATAAAATATTCGAAAGGCTACCTAATTTCAAAGTCGCTATAATTTTTAGCAGGCTTACTAGCGAGCTCTTGGCTTTGGAAAAGTCTTGTAAAGTTTCGACAAATTACCTGTGAGAAAAGGCGAGCGCGCGTCGCTTCTTTTCGCGCGCAGCAGACTATCTTCGCTCTTCAAGAAGGTATCCACAACCAGAATTATATTTCGTTATCTAGCAAATTACAATAACTTTATTATCAGGTAGATACGCCTACTCTAGTTGCACAGTCCGTCCGTAAATGATACAATCTTGGCATTTTCCACAAAGTAACGAGAACAACTAACTGCGAAATTAAGCAGCTTAAAGTATTAAAAACTTAGACGTATCATTCACGAGTTTGGCTCCGCGTCTTCGATTCTTCCTTACGTTCTTCATGTTCATCAGCAGCTTCTGGCAGCTTCATATAATTTGTCACTTGGTCTTTTCGCTCTAACTTTTTCGGGCTGCCTTATTAACCAATTCTTTAACGTTTCGAACATCGCTAACACCTTTTACCTTTTTAAATATGCACCTTCACCTTCTTAAATATGTAATAAAGTAAATAGCATAAGCTGCGTCAAGACCCAGACCCAGACCCAGACCCAGACCGTAAACTTTTCCTAACTCTCTACTCATTTTTCAGTGATTTCAAGACAACTTTTCTATCCCGAATACTCTAAATATCAGATGTTCTCTCTATGGTTCCTTAGAATAGAGCCCTGTTCTTAGGTTTCTTCCTTAGATATAGATTAAATTAACTCTCCGGCTTTTCCTTTTTATTAAGGTGCCGCAATAGTCCTTAATTGATGCGAACCACAGATTATTGGGTGCAATACGATAGATACGAGTGCAGCACTTTTATGCTTTTACTACATAAATGCCTTTTGATAAGGTATGGTTTGTATGATGAGGTGTAGAGGATAGTTTTTGACATGCTGTCAGTCGTATGACCTTTATATTTAGTTAGCTTCTTTCTTTTTTATATATTTAAAACTGTAAGTGATTATTTACGTGCTCAGAATATGTTTAAGATCTCGGAATCTATTTTAATTTAGTCTACCTATTTAAGACCCCGGAATTGCCCGGCCTTAGGTATAATATCAAAGATTTGCCCCGATTAGCAGCCTAGCCAGGAATCGGCCTCAGTGAATTTACCTAGATATTCTTTGGACTTTTATAGGCTCTCCGCAGTTCTGTTGGTAAAAGTATGCAACAAATAAACGGATGTAAATGTAAAAACCGTCTATCTGTTTATTTACTCATAGCGCTCATAGGGGGTAGATAATATGATAGGCGTATTATCTGTGTAGCAGAATCGAACTCTTTCGGCAGATGTGTTACGCATGCATATTTCTATAACGCAGACGTATATCATTCTCATTGAAATGGGCGCTATATATTATATTACCAAGATAGATGAGCAGACCCATTGGCAGTGCTTGCGGAACTTACACAGAGCTATCTGGCGTTCTTACGTGATCATGAAGTTCATATAAGCAATCGCCCGATAGGTGCTTGATAATATGACACCTTTCCAATTATTATTCTGTATTTTGTGAATCTATAGGCACTGTATAAACTCATACTCTATTGCCATACCCATTATACCTACATTATAGCTATGTATGTGGACCTTCGTCACCTTACGGCGATGAAGAACGCTATTCTTCGTCGAAAAAACCTCTTATCGCCTCTTGAATTCTCCTGGTGAATGAATCTTGAATTCGATCGGTATACAATTCCCATTTCCTTTATACATAATTCTCTCGGGCTGTGTCACTATCCTGATTAACCTTATGGTGACTGACAGGCGCTCAATCAAGCGGACTCCATTTGCTGTTTCCACCAATTGATCGTGCCTTTTGGACCTCTTTCGATGCTGGCCTATTCGTTAGATTCCTGTTTTTGTTGTCGATCAAACGTAATCGTTCAAGCTTAGGAATGAACTTACCGTTCGTAGTACTAATAGCTCGATTCTTCCGTCAGAGGCATGATATAAAAAACCTTTAGTATCCATCTTCTCTTCAGCTTAACTTAAATTACGTTTATTTTGATTTTTATGAGATTTAAAATTCATTTCTCCATGCTTCGTATTAGCCTTGGACTCCATATTCTGTCCGTTTACCGTGCTGTACAGTTTTGCGCCTGCCTGTTCAGTCATTTTTTTCGACTCTAATAGACATTTTGAACACTATATTGAGATACTAGCTTACGTTAAGCTGGCGGGCTCGTTCAAATTCGAAGTTAGGGCTCTCAACGCGCACGGGATGCTTAGACGTTGTGTCAGCCTGCAAACGAAACATATGTTGAAAGTAAACCGGGCCCGGCTATTCACTGCGGTCCCGCTGTAGCAACTGTAGTATCAGTTGAGCTTCAGTGTAGATCTCAACTTGGAAATTATAGATACTTGACCTAGAGAAAGAGGAAATCTATTCGAATGCTTTTAGTTTACAGAAGAGGCTAAGCAGGCATAAGGTTATGTGCGGATATGCTAATACTATCTTAGCAAATGCATCCTGCATTTGATAGAAGAATCTAACTTGTCTTTTCACTGCTTTCTTAGGTTTTGTCTTTGAAGTTTCGTCAGGCGATGCGAGACACGTTTTTACGTTGTTGCACACATTGTTGTTGCGGGTTGTTCGCTTGTCATGGAGAGGAACAGACGTTTACGACGAACTTCTACAATAGTAGTCATCAGGCTAGCGGCTTGACGCGGAACGCATCTACTAGGTGTTCGACGATGGGGCGAAACAATTTTACCGGTAGCTGTAGAAGTTACTCACCAACGAATAGTACCATACTAGGTAGGTTCTTTTAAACACATTTTCGACACTTTCTTGGAACATATTAGCAAAAATTATCTAACAGAAACTTACACCAATCGCTGTAACGTTGTTTATTCGAATTTACAAACTGATCTTATCAACTGACATATTCTACGGTGTATAAACATTCCCATATTTGAGACAAATCGAGAACTGATAGCGGTGGCTTATATGAGCCAAAATGATCGATGTATGCAGAACTTCGTAAAATCGATTTAGTATGACATCCTCTCAATCGGCTGTTTACTTCAGATCGAAGTGGCAGTAATAAACTTAACAATCGTGGGACTCCTGTTACCGTGGCCAACAGCGACCTTCTACCCGAAAAGAGCGATAGCGTAGTACGCAGACCGCTCACGGATGCAAATGGTCTGTTGACAGTTGACGTTGCCCCGACAATAATTCAAATCCCAGAGACCAAGGACACCACCAAGAACAAGGAGAGCAAGACTAAAATGAAGGATGCAACGAATCGAGAACGGCTCATTGCACTAGCCAATAACAAGACGAACGGAAACCCACAAGTGATCGTGACGACCGAGACGTGAACCCTTCAAAGGTTAGGTACGGTAACAGCAGAGTCCTTATAGCTAAAATGAACACTTAAAAGTACCCGAAGTGCCAAATAAGATATCCATTACATATAGAGTAAAGTTTGTTTTAAGCACAATTGTTCTTAAAAACACTTATGGTTCTATAACATATATATGCGTTATGGCGGAGCTACGTCATATCTACACAACTTCGTCCCATCCTCGCATCATACTTCAAAATACATCAGAGCAAAACAGTTCAGGGATTTAGATCACTGTCGTGATCTTAACTAGACAGGTGGTGCTTTTTTGTTTCATTGTTCTCACGATGGCGAAAAGACATATACACCTGTGTCATTATCTTGGTTATTATAGAAAATAAAGCAAATGGTAGGCACGTTTAATATAATTAGTGTAACCGATCTACCAGGTAGGCTATAAATGTTTCTTTGCTCAGAGTGAATGTACCTTAATAGCGCCGATACATACGATTCAAGGACGGCTGTTGCATGCTTAATGAAGCTGAATACTGAACCACTAATATGGGGAGGCAGTGAACCAGATAGAACGACCGGGTATTTTTGTGACCTACAAACGATAATAATCTTTCGTTATTGTCTACTAATAGAACTTTAACTCAAACTCATACTTACCTGTAATAACAATTGTGAAGATAATTCAGCGTACAACATCGGTGTACGAAATGAAGCCAAGAAGAATATATAAATAACCTCTAGAACGACTATATCACAAGGAAAAACATCGTTCATTGATACATGAGGTCACTCCCTTATTCAGTAAATAGTGATAAACATATGATCAAACTAGGGTTAGACAGATTAGATATACAGACTGTGAACTGTAAATATCTTATTGAAATGAACATGGTGGAGTGAAGATAGAGCAACGGGTTGAGCAAACGCAAGTCGTTTGTGCTTGTCAATGACGAAAATAAAAATGAAACCAAGGTTTGTATCAACGATAAAAGCTACGCTGTTGAGCACATATTTATGTTGTTTTTATGCGCATACATACGCATGCAAGGACAGATTGTCATGTCGTCCTCGAAAGAAGAATAACTCCGTAAAAGGCCCGCTTTTTTCGTGGACGCCAATAATGTGTTTATTCCAGCCACTATTCTCTTCCTGTCTTAATTGAATCGTATGGAATCAAAGATGATTTGGACAAGGATGTGGAAGCTCTTTCGCTTATTGGTTATTGCGCCAAGCGAGCGCCATTTTTACGATTTTGCTGTATTACTATGACATGGACATCTTCTCCTGGTGAAACAAATTCAGGCGAACAGTTTTGCTTAGGGTGTCGTTAGTTCTGATGCGACGCTGCTACCGCTTAGCCATCATTCAGGCTGAGTCCTATAAACCTATGCGTATATAGATGAATAGCTTCAAACGAGGTGAGAATTCGACGAATTGTGACTTCTATTGTCTGAAAGAATGGTACAGGCTAAAACAGTTATGCCATTGCAATTTCGATTGCGGCGTACCAATTCAATGCCTCCGCACAAATAGCTTGCTACGTTGAGCGTATATATTTCTAATAGGAGAAGGAAATTCACAGTGAGGCCGGCTAAAAATTTCCAGTGTCGCCAAATACGCTCGATCAGTAGGTAAAGTGAACCTTAGGTACAGCCAGAGGGTCCGAGCCGTCAAAATCGTCACTGTGGAATACATAAACCGTTAAATTTGTCCAAGCTAGCCGTATTTGCAACGGTCTATTTTCGGCTCAGCAAGAGAATAACCTGAACGATACGTCGTTAGTTGAGAACGTAACGAAGACGGTCAATATCTGCCTATAGCTGGTCCTATGCGCCATTGGTGTGACGCTTCTAACTTGCATGCGGATTCTATATCCGTCTCTATATCTAGTCATATAGAAAAGAATATCCTATACCTATACTCCATGATACGGGGACCCTCGATTGACCGTTTCTCCTGCTCGGCAAGCAAAACATTAATCGACCTTGGGTGGACCTTAATTCATTCTATATACTAGAGATAGATAGATTCAGTTTAAAATAAGCTGAACTGAGACTACGTACACTAATGGTGCTTCTGTTTTTGAAGTTTCACGTCCTAGTGCCATCTAGCCTGCTTCTTACTGAATAATAGAAGCAGAAAGATAGATAACCCCTCTTACTCAGGGAAAAAAAGATTGGCCATGCGAGAGCTTCACATGTAGCTGATAACACTGTTTATCTATGTGTATTGGCGATTACTGATTTTCTAAACTGTTGTTATGCTAAGCATTATTATTATTACCCTTTAGGGAGAGAATCTATAAATGTAAATGTGTATAGAGCACCTCAAGAACCGTACAAGACACGTAAATCACACAACTTACAAAAACGTCGGGACATCGAAGCTGCGCCATCTTTAACAATATTAGAATAGGGATATGACGTAGTAACGATATGATGATGATGGATAATGCTATTATATAATACACAGTTGTACTATGCGTTAAAATGAGCTTTGATTGTGTCCTTCACCCAATCCAGGAGTAATATAGGGTCGTCTGGTGAACAGTACGACCATATTGTGTCAACCTGAATTCTGAACGATAGAAATAGCTATTTCAGGGTGCAAGGTCGTGACTTATGAAAACGTTGCCAAGCGGACGATCAGAGTTACGCTACGAGTTCAATCAGTAGAAGCTAGTTAATGAACGCTTAATAATCTTGTGTAGTTGCTAACTGAGTTTGCATTAGGTTAATTTAATGGGGTTAATTTACAAACAAACCTAAACACGGCACTCAGAGATAATAATTCGAACTGTACTCAGGATTTTGACAACAATGAAGTCGGCGTACGTGGCATCGGAGCTTGGAAAGAGCTCTTACGAACGTTGGATCCGAAAATTGGCTTTAAGACATGTTTAGTTTGGATAGAAAACAGATAATATTAAACTGTCCAACAAGATAACGTGGAACGTTAAAAATTTTTTTGTGCGTCACAGTCGGCATGCGCTACGTTACCGTCATTTCAGGCAACTAACCGTTGTCCAATGAAAGCCTACCGTACTAACGCATGGACACCAGCTAAATTTCAAATTTTATTAAACTATACTCTATTTTCTAATTCGTATAGGAAAGTTCTTATAAACAGAAGTGTAGCAGGTAACGTACACATTTCCTTTGCAGCACAATTAATGGGAAGTATAAGAAAATCTCCTCGGATCTAAGTCTTTTTTCTCAAAGTTGCAGATTTTGTTCCGCGCACACTTGAATACTTGGTCCTCTCTTCATTTCCATATACCACGTCCTATTTCTCGCTAACACTGCCGCCACTGTCAGATCCGCTTTAAAGGTCCAAATAAAATAACCTAATGTAAGAAGATTACAGCCGTTAGCCCACACATCCCTATATTCTGCCGTATAATGGTGTTATGGCAAGAAGCAGAAGAAATACACTGACAAACGTTGGATAATGCGATCTGATGAACATCGACGAGGATTTGCAGGAGACATCACTGTCACTAAACACCAATACTCACCAAGCCGTGAACTCGAATCCAGCGTAAAGTTATAAACCATCAAGTTTATTGTGATTAGATACTTGAATTCAGCTTTCAACTAAATTATGTACATAAGCCCTGCTTGCTGGACATACTTAGAATTAGTTACTAGTTCGGTGACGCATACACTACGTAAAATAGGCCCGCCAAACTGGGCATTTCTTCCTCTCTGTTTCGATATAACTCCAGCAGACCTTATGTAAAGGTAGCACTAATACGCCATTACCAACCACCTTTACAGATAGAAGATATCGTATCGGCAGCAGCATTCTTGTTTCAAATAGGCAAATTATAATTAGCTCTTATGAAAGACCAAATTTTGGCTTCTGTTAGTAGTTGTTTCACATATGCTTATATTGATAAGGTACAGCCTAGAGCTCCTCACGCAAAACAGCAAAAATGCGTTACAGGTATCTACTACTAAAACTGGTTCAGCCAAAAAGGCCTACGTACCTTTGCAGTGCACATGGCATATGCACAGAAGATCCCCCCCCCCCTCCTCAGTGACTTCGGCTAACTATTTATTTCCGAATGGCCGGGCGCCACGTTCGGATAAATACGGAAATATAGTATGTTAATGTATGTACACTATATATACATATAAATATCCATCTCAGCACAGCCAACACATGTTTTTGTAAATAGCTCAACTGTTCATTAGTACGACGGTGTCAAAATATACATATATTGAAAAGTCAAGAAAAATCAATTGTGCAGGTCAAGAATACAGCGTGAAGATACAGAAGTTAACTATCGTGATGGATGACATCCAAAGGGTCCTAGACGGTCTTGCCAGGTCCGTGAAAGCGAGACACCAAGCTCAGGAAGCAGAGGAACTAACGGATAATAGTCATGCCTATGCTGGGCCAAGGAAGTTAAAAGAAGACATACTCAAACGAGAATAACAGCAATGCTAACTATTATATCTAAATATATACCATTGAAGCTAGATCGAGAAATAGTGGTGATATTATAAATCATGTAAAATGAAATACTGGTGTATATAAAATGGGAAAAAAATACATCTATTCGCTAGGCGAAAAAAAAAACAGCATATACAAATGTGTTTTAATTTTGAGTAGATCAATACTGCCTTATATAAGCAGGTGAAGGCTATAAAGGGTATAGAACATCTTAGTGTTTAGAACTCTGATCTGGTAATGACGGAGAGAAGTACCTAGAATTGGAATTCGTCCGTGAACTTCAGTGCCTCCCTCAATCTAGGGGCGAAGCGGCCGGGCTAGCGGTCAGCCCCGTCCTAAGTTAAGCGATGCATTAGGTTTAACTTGCATTTTGCCTATAATCATTTACTAGTCTTTATTTTAAGACTAAAGAAAAGTTTGTCTGTAAAAATTAAGTTATTTAGAATACAGTGGCAATGTAAGAGAAACCAGGACCAGTATCTAATCTCATTGGCACGATCCCAGCCTTCATTGGTAGCTATACACTATACTCATGGCCACTGGGGTTGACGGAGAATAATTACAGGCTCGATGACCGAGTCCGTTTCCTTTTACACTCTAACCTAATAAATATAATTATAAACTACATAAACATAACGCATGATCGATCTATTATTTCTCATAGAAGCCTAATTCAGAGACAGAATTTTTTACGCGCAAGTTACGTGTCGTTGGCAACAAGTGAAGAAAAGGAATGGACGAGATTACAAAAAACGATACTGCCACTAAATGGATGGTATTCAAAGGCTTCGCGGTTTGGGTCGTAAAATATGTAATAAAAATAAAATAATAAACATGCTATATATAGCGGTAGCAGCTGTTTTGAAATTATTCATTTATGTAAAAACGAGAGAAAACCTTACTAAGAAAAACAAATCGTTTCGTAGGATGTCACCAAAGACAGTTCTCTGTGTTTGCTGATATCTGTGTGAGGTATCAATTTGAAGGAAAACACTAGAGAAAGACCAAGGAAAATAGCCACTACGAAATATATATTCTGCCGAAAGTAGCAGGGATTCTATTGTTGAGCAATAGAGATTATCGAATCCACAGAATAGTATTAGCAGGCATAGCATAAATGGGTTCGTGACGTCGAGTGACAAATGGTCGGACATAGCAATCCCAATCTACAAATCCCATGTCTACGCATAAATAATAGTAACGTAGGCCTTTTTTTATTAAATATTTTCAATTTACATTTGATTCTCTGCTTTTAGCCTCCAATAAGAGCTGCTATATATTCATTAATAGCTGGTCAGGCGTCATGGGTCAGAGATGTGGATCTATGATGCCTGTATCCCTTAATAAATGTAGGTTGGTCGTTTTGTTGTAATGGTTATCGCGACCGCCACTGCCATGCAATCGGTGTTCCTTTTCTGCAAACCATGAAGCTTGCTGGTGCTACCGCGCCGAACCGGACAGCAGGTCGCAGAAGCTTCCCGGCCTCAGCGGGCCCACGCCAGCGTTAGGTTGACGGAGAATATGCTGTTCTCGTTCCTGAGTGAACCATTTCTTTTCGATCTGCTTCTTTGAGAACATTCGAACAAGAGTACATGTAAATGATAACTTACTGTACGACGAAAGCTTAAAATATAGAACTATTTAGGACCGCTGATCGAACCTATATAGAACTGATAAATAATCTGAGCGATAAAATAATGAGATAATTTTTACTAAGAACGACTTTTGTTGCAACGAACTGTGTTTCGCATATTGAATTACTATGATCATGTATTACATGAGCACTCTGGAGGCCATCCAATGGTCGTCCATTCCAGGCCCTGTACAAAGCTACCTGGAATGGACTGCTAGCCTGATACGGATATCAAAAAGACTTTAGGATTCAACCCATGTGCTAATGCATGGGTCATCGTAAACTGAGGCATCCAGCCAAACTATTGCCCTCGACAACGCGCCATATGCAACTGCTCTTGAAAGCTTTGGCACAGCGCACCGTTCAGACTGAGCAGTTTTGCTGACATATACGATACCATCTGAATAGTCACTCTTTGGATTCTAACTTTGATCAATGACTGACTCTTTTATGTAAAATTCCTGGTTATTTATAGAGCCCACCGCTGCTCCTATATAAATACATTGTGACGAAAGAAAGATTCGTATTTTCTTGCAAATTAATACATTTTCGTTGATTTTTTTTTGATAGAGGAATCTTTGTGCTTCAATAGAATTTCTCACCAGTAAGTCAACATAGCTCAGATGAAATAAACATTGTCATCATTAACTGTCCCGGAGACAGCGTTCGGACGTATCTATAACACATATACAACAACAAGCAGCAAATAAGAGTAATGAATATATTCTTATCGGGACGTTCCTTATGAAGTAGCCTTGCTTCTTATATAGATGCATCCACGAGCCTAGCTGTTATTACGTTTGCCTTCTTATATTCTATGTTTATACCAGTTCAATTTAAGCTAAGGGGAAAAATTAATAAGCTGTGAATTTTTATCAAAACAAGGACCATCGCATCGCGCCTAAAGATGTAGCTTCGCCTTTATTTGCAATGATAAACTGGATTCAAGTCCCCTGTACGTACGGGTAATAAAACTGAGCCAGCTTTTAATCAGTGAGTTTTGAAGAAATCTTATTTTCGAAACAGTGAGGTATACCCATTAAAATTTGCTTGACTGCTCATAAACTTGTTTACGTTCATGGTTTTATGTAGAAGCTTATGAAGTCTGAGCATAATATTATCTACACTAAAACCGCCTATTCATCCGTTTCATAATGTTCGGAAGAGATGAGCGTCCTTTGATGATACATATGCACGCTACATGTTCTATATTGGCTTATTAATATTTGGGTGACACGAGTTGCCTACAGACACTTAGTAGAACCTGGTTTCCATTGGAATATCTGATATTTGAATTAAATATGTAAACGAATTTTCATTTTAGAGTTTAGAAAGGGGAGTAAAAATGCGCAAGATTTATTCAGAGTCATAAAGTTTCGAAGAGCATCCATAGCCTTGCTGTATATGGCGGTTGTAAGGTTGCCTCCCTACCCTTTAAAGCGCCCGTTCCGTTAGACTCTCCCATGGTTCGTTGGCATCTTCATATTGAGGGGCTTCAGGCCTAGAGATAAATACGAGAATATTGTTTCTGTTGACTGAATCAGCCCCAAAATAAAACACACTTCTACATTCTGATTAAGTTATCTTTTCCTGACATGTGAGATAGAGAAAGATTGCAGCTTTCCTAACTATAAATATATGTATATATACATATATATATATGGCGAGTACGATTTTCTTTATTATAGCTTATTTTTGAAAAGACATTATGGTTTTTGTGCGTGCCCTTTGACTGACGACAGAGTGGTGGAAATACAATAGTTGTACATGTTAGATAACCAATTGCTGTAGCATGCATGTGGAAAATGGCCAGGAAAAGGATATCAGAGGAAAATACTTTTGCTTATGTTATTATCAGAAGTAGCCGGTGGCGTACAAATCATCAGACTGTTCGGAAAGGACGTTCGGACAGAATAGTAATGTCTAGACATTTACAGCTCGATTTTTTAGACGCAAAGGCCTTCTACCCTCGCACAGCTGCTGCAACATTCGTATCTTTCGCAGCGTCGTGGGTGTTGCCGATGCTGGCGTGATTTTCTAGGGAAAAGCTGAAAGGCTCGCATGAGACCAAGGTCTGATGGAATGCCTAACGACGATACCGCGCCTAAAACCCGAAGTATAGAGGTAGGTATGCTAAGTGTGGAAATTCGGTCAAAATACACAACATTGAGGCTAAAACTACAGGCGACCATACACTTATTTGTTTCTTATTTTTATTTTGCACGGTAAGGCTCAACGTATAGCTTTAATGTTACTAGAAAATTCTACGTTGAAAGATCAGCAAACTAACAAAAGCGGAGCTGAATAATAGCTCCTCATAGGAATGGTAATTTTGATTATCACAGCACCTGCAATAATTTAAAATAACTTGCGAACATATGTATATTATAGTACTTCCATCTCATAAACGTACAACTTTTTACTCAATTAGGTTTTCTCAATTAGGTCACAAGTCATGTTCAAAGAGATTGATCCACAGCGGTTCTTGGGGTTACTACGTCGGTATGTTCAAAGGACGGGCTTATGTTTATTGCGAAGAAAAAGGACCAACTATTAGTTAAGTTGACTGAAATTCAATTGACTTTTATGGGCCAATTTTATGATTGCCCAACATTTCTGAATTGTGTCAGCTATATTTATGAAAGTTGACTGACTATTATCAGAATTCACTAAAGAGAGGTACTGGCTATAGATTTCTCGTTCGTATCATAATTAGGACTCATCTGAGTATATGGATTTATCACAACGGATATTCGTGATATGTGTTAAAAGTGTATTCCGGACAATGGAATCGATACTGCATCTGACAAACTAGTCGGACCTGCATAGTGTACTACACCTCAAAATCACAAATTTCTGTGAACCACTCTAACACAAAAACAATTTAGGACATAGGAAAAAAATCGTAAACTTTGTCGTAAACCTCACCTTTACAACAGCGTCGAAAATCTGCCCAAAAAAAACAAGACGATATTTTTCTACGTGTTAAGATTGTATCGGAGAAGGTCTTATCTGTACAAAATATCCACATATTTACCCTCAAACGACAAACTTATTTCATATGTCCGTTTGTCTTACTATAAGTGAATGAATTTGTTCACACAAGCACACTTATCGTGATTTAAATTATGGATTTTTTTGCCTTTTGGCCTAAATCCGAGGTTTAGCTGTCCAAGTCACCGGCATATAGGTTTTGTACGACAAAGGCTAACCTCTACGGTACCAGAGTAATTCTCTGATAAGCATTGCCTAATCCCCTGTTTGTTATTATTGGCGCATAATTGTAAACATGCATAGCTTTGAAGATCAGCGGTTCCGTGCTTGCTGGGTAACACCGAGATACATTGAGGTTTTTTCAACAAAACTTTTGTTTGTGGACTACTAAGGCTTCGAGATAACATTTTAGACCCAGCTGTTCTGAGAATGTTGGGTTTCGACCGAAATTTTTCTCCTGGCCCGAAGAGATGCTCCTTTTATTTAAGTT